AAGTTAAAATGACAGCACTTCTCAACACATATTTGTTTTTTTACACCAAAGTAATAAGTCATTGGCATTCATTACCAGCAAATTAGATGTCCCACAAAAGTGATTTTCCAAGTAACAAAATCACACATTTTTAAGCACCCCAAAAATGCAGTCATTTTGGATGAAAGTTATATAAAATGATCACATGCTTCCCAGGTTTCTTAAACAGAAGATAATGGATAAATATAATTAGCTTTTCCTTGATGATCATGCTGTGAGCCTACAGAGGCAAACTGTTATGATGTTGAAGCACAGTGGAACACTGCAGGTTGTAAAGTATTAATGAAATGAACCAAGTGAACAACGATACTATGCAGACCTAAGAACTCACTGCATAACAATCTGGAGTCATTTAATAGTGGGAAAAGATGCAAACTAGCCCTGGTGGCATAACTGTCTGTCTCAAGATAATCAGTCCAGTGTAAGAGTCAGACAGGAAAATCAGTGATTATAATTTTAAAATGGGCTGTAATAGAGGCAGGCAATACACAAAGTGTCATGGAACTGTTCAGAAGCATACTCAACTCAGCCTTGTTACACAAAACATACTTTAAAAAGAAGTGACACTGGAGCTTTTTTAAAATAAGCTGATGAACAAAATAGATCCAGAGACATAGAAGCATGGAACAGACCGATGAATCTCAGATGGAAGGCAGAGGTGGGTGGGTGGGAAGAGATTACCCAAAGAACTTGTATGCATAATCTATGGACATAGACAATAGGGGAGTGAAGGTCTGGGGCAGGGGATGGGTGGAAGGGGTCAATGGGGGGGAAAAGAGGGACATCTGTAATACTTTCAACAATAAAGATAAATTTTAAAAAGAAGAATAGGAATTAACCATGCAGATAGTGAGAAAAAGACACTCCAGGTATAGGGAACAGCACAGACAAAAATAAGGAAGGTATGAAAACGTAGCACTTCAGGGGAAACGCAAAAAGGTTGGCATAACTAGAACATCGGATCAAGAGGTACTCTTGGCTGGAAAAGCAGTAGGAAAAGGGTACTAGGACCAGCTCTCAAAGGCATTGTATGCTCTAGTAGTTTTGGCCTTACACTGACAGCCAAAAAAAAAAAGTGCAGCAGGAGTTTAGGCAGGAAGTTATGGCAGATGGAAGACTGGTACTATTAAGTTAGGAGGCACCTCTATTGCTAGAGTTTAGATATCCAATAATATGGTCCTGAACTGGGTTAACAAAGTGGAAATGCATAAGGGACAAGCTAGAGATCTGATTAGAAGGCAGAGTTGACCAAATGGATGTCAGAGGTGTGATAGGAGGAGATAATTTGAATGGTTTCCAATTCCACACATAGCTTGAGTGACTGGCTATGTAGATACCGGTGCTAGTTAATGACGATAGGGAATACAGGAGGAAGAATATATGCATTTCAGTTTTGTTTGTAGTTATTTTTGTGTGGGGGTTATTTTTTTAAATTTTGTGTATGGGGGAGGATGGAGAGGGATATGTGCAAGATGGGGATGTTCAGTGTTAGATCTGCTGAGTTTAAAATACCTGTGTCTGAGTCAAGTGGTTGATGAACCTAAGTGGTAGTTAACAGACAAAGATATTTCTCAGTGACAGAAAGTAGTAAAAAGAGGACCAGAGGCAAAGCCCTTGGGAACACCACTATTTGAGGGATCAAGGAGCAGGGGAAAAAAGTAGAAAAGGCAGATAGAAAATAGTGCCACAGAAGTCAATGAAGGAAACAGTTTTGGGTAGTATGGGAGAATAGTGTAAAATATTAGCGAAGTCTGAAAAATTGCAATTGGATCTAGCAATATGGAAGGTGAGGGCTATGAGTCAAATTGCTGCAGGTTTAGGAGTGAACAAGGAGTGACTGGTAGGAGATCAAGAACTTGGGATGGGGAACACACAATACTCTTTTCAAGAAGTTTAGGAGAACAGAGAGGACAATAGGGAGGTAATTATAAGGGGATATGGGGTCAAGAAGTGATATCTTCAAGGTGTTTATAGGATGAGGGAAAGGGCCATTAGTATTTGACAGGTTGGAGATGCTGAAGAATACAAGGTTTCCTAAGAGGTAGAAGAAAAGGGATTCCAGAAGCATTGACCAGGAAAAGAAAACTTACTGAGACTGGAGAAAGGAAGGAACAAGTGGTTCAGATAGGGATACGTTTGCAAAAAGGGAAGGATGAGATGTTGAATCACCACTTCTTACTATTTTTCCATTTCCTTGACTCTTAATGCCCTAGATCTCCTCCTAGCTTGCAATTTACCAGGGATGTATAAATCAGATAATTAAACTTATTAGAATTTGTGTCAAAAATAAGAATGAACAGGCTGCAAGGCAATTCTGAGTGTGCTTGTATTTAAGAAATGTGCCAGGCTAGCCTCTGGGGCAGTAACTGGGAACAAGATGCAGTCCTGGAGTTTAGGACTTTATGACATCAACTGTGGCTACCAGCTCAATTATCTTTATTACCTGCTTCTCTGTTCTATTAAAAATCCAGATAAAGGTTGCTAGATGTGACTTGTAAATAAATGGTGTTTGTTAAGAGCACCCAGTTAGCTCATCCCCTTCCATTTCCCAAATTATCACCCAGCACATAAACTATTAGGTAGCATACATCTTATAGTATTATGCCTTGGATTTAATATAACTTGGGTTTTTAAAAAAATTCATTAGTAGATTAGTTTTTAATTCTGGCAATGGATTCATAGTCATCTTTCCCAAATTGGCTATTTGACCTAGTACTGAAACAGTTTTCATAAATAGTGCTAATAAAGCTTTCATGTAAGACAAATATTCCCAAAGTAGATCAAAAGGCAATTGCACCCTTACAAAGATCTTTCTAAATGCTGTCACTTATTTAAAATGTTCTCAATTAGCATGTGAAGTATTAATTTATAATAAATAATGATTTTGTGCATTCAACCTTTAAGGATTCTTTAAGTAATGGGAAGATATTTTGGTAAAACAGGAATTTTAATAGGATCACATACTGAAGAAAAGAAAATCTCATTCTATAAGTCATTTTGTTCCAATTTTAGTATATGTGCTGCCAAAGCGAGCACTCTATAAGTCATTTTGAACTGATCTATTTGCCTAATGTACATTTGAGACGGTACTGAAAATATTTTGGGGAAAAGGAAAAGTGTATTTTTGGAAGAGTTTAATAGTCAGAGAAGCAATTAAGATTTTTAAAGATAAACTATTCATAGGCATTGAAATTTCAACTAAGTTTCTTGTAGATTAAAAAAAACCTGATTGGGGGAAGGGGTAATGAGGCTATAAGGACATATATGTAATACCTTAATCAATAAAGAAATTTTTTAAAAAACCTGTTATCTTCAAATTTCTGTTCAGAAATCTTTCAAAAATAATATTCAGTGTGAGTTGGAAAGCTGAGATACACATTTTTTGAGATACACATTTATTAAAAAATGTAAATCAAAAACTCCTCTTAAAATCAATTGTGTCAAATTTCTCTTTGTAAAAGTCAGTGTTAGGAATTACATTCTTATGTGACATCTTTTTTAAATTATATATCTTTTAGATCTATAACCAAACTGAACTATATAACATGAATCTGAAAAGATACTAGCTATTGAGTATCACCCAAATATGTCTATACTACTTTCAAAAACAAAATATGGCAATTTTGATGCAGAAAGTTAGCTACCACGGTAATAGATAAGGAAATGGGTGGGAGAGAGATGAGCCCGAGCCAATTTAACATTATCTACCTAAACAGAGATGAAATGCTATAATCTTAAAGAAAATATGTGTCTTATAAGAATTCCTCCTAAAAAAGAAAAGAAACAAGATGGTGCATTTTACACTGTATGTAAAGTTATGTTCTTGATACATAACAAGGAGCTTCTTATCAGATCCCTTCTACTGGTAAATATACTCAAATCTTCACTAACATGGAAAACTACCATTCAAAAGAAATAGAGAAATAAAGCCTTCAACTTTACGAGACCCCAGAAGTTAAGCAGCTTGGCCAAAGTGACATGGCAGCTAGTAGCAAAGGTGGGAGCTATGATGATTAACTGGCAGTCACATGGCTTAACTGGGTAATCCAGAGGAAAGTTATGAGCCAGATTGCTAATTTTGTGTGTGTGTGTGTGTGTGTGTGTGTGTGTGTGTGTGTGATATACACTAAGGTTCAAACATTTTAGAGTGAAAGATTGCATGCACACAATCCTATTTTGGTTCAGATCAATAGTTTGGATTATATGGCTGCAATGCACAGCTGCTATGTATAGATATGAAATATCAGCCTCATTTTAGGAGTTGAGAAAAAATGCACAAGATACTCTGATGCTTTTTAATATTAAATAAATATTCTTTTTTTGTTGTTGTTAATCCTCACTTGAGGATATTTTCCCATTGATTTTTAGAGAGAGCGGAAGGGAGGGGGAGAGACAGAGAGAATAATCGATGTGAAAGAGGCACATCAATTGGTTGCCTCCCGCACACACCCTGACCAGGACTGGGGAATCAAGACTGCAGCCAAGGTAGTGCCCTTGACCAGAATCAAGCCTGGAACCCTTCAGTCTGCAGGCCAACGCTCTATCCACTGTGCCAAACCACCTAGGGCTTAAATGAATATTCTTGATTGCTGGTTCCACAATTGGCTACACACCAGATCTGGCTGAGGAACACACACACACACACACACACACACACACACACACACACACACACGTCTTATCTCAGACCTGCTAAATTAAATATTAAATACTCTAGGAATGGTGCCTGGAACTTGAATTTTTATAACAAGTTTCCCAGGTGATTCTTATACTGTAGCCAGCCCAGCATCAGTAGAGACCCATGTATTGGACCATTCTTCCAGATAATAACACAACAGGACATTTTGGAAATAATTTAGTTCTATTTCTAAGCATTTGTAAAGTTTTTCCTTTTGGAAGAAATTGACATTATGTGATATACAAAATCTTGACTTCAACCAATGGGAAATAATGTGAGCAAATTTCCTTAAGAAATAAAATAACCTTTATTGTTTGTTTTAGAAGCAATATGTGGAGCAAATGGACAAGCAAATATCTAGAGAAATACCATACATCAACTAGTGGCTTAAACATTTGAAAGAAAAACATGAGAAGTATTTACATGGACCAGTTTCTTTATATAAATGCTAACACATGAAAAACACTCAGAACCATAGAGTGTTAGACCATCAAGGTGTAAACCCAGTAAAGCAAATGAAACTACAAAAGGTACAAAGAGCATGAGGCTTAAATGACCGTATATAAACTGGCCCACGTAAGATACAAAAATATTCAATGAAGTCAGATTTTCTAGAAAACAGTGTTAATTAGAGATATTTTCATATGAATCAGATATATAATTTAATGTAGAAACTTTTAGAAACATTAACAGCATTAAGCCAGTGCCACCCACTTATGCTTTAATCTCTTTTTTTTAAAAGCTGCTTTGTTTTGACTTGTGAGAAACATCTAAGACCTACGTTCTTATAAGCATTATCCATTCTTTTAAGGTTAACAATCTTACACTAACATACTATTTAAATAAAAAATAATTTTTAAAAATCAGATTTATATTTTTGTCTTTTGTCTTTTAGAAGTGCCTTAAGCTGGCAATGCAGCTCATTGTAGCTTTAAAAGAGGGGTTGATCAGGAATCTGATTCTGAGCCAGTAAGAATTTCAGGCTACTCTAAACAGAGAGCAAATTTAAGTGGGAAAAAATATTCAGCACTCCAATATAACTCGAAAGATAGTTATAGACATATATATGTTTACAGGCAATTGCTTGTGTGTGTGTTTTTAGTTAGACTACCAAATTAATTCAACATCAATAATACTTTGGAACCCAGATATCTCATTTTGTAGTGAATGGGGGTATACAATCTCCTACCCCCCCCCCACAAAAAAACTCAGGCACCTTTGGTATATGGCTGCATATTAACAATTTCTAAATATTTGCTCAGCCGTTCCAATAAAAAAACACCTAGAAACAGCACGAAATACTTGATATGTTAACTATGAAGCTGAAATGTTTTGCTTTCTCATATAAACATTAGGTGGTTCACGGTAGATGGACAACTGGTGCATCTCCCCAGAGGACAAAACTGAACACAAAATACATGAATTAATAATGATTCTACCATAATGAACAACAATACTGTAAGTTTTGATTAGCATATAACCATTTAAATAGGAAAGCCAAATTAGTAAATGTTGTAGTAATCACTTTAAGCTGGAAACAAAGAACAACTCTTAAAAACAAAACAAAAAACCCCAAACATTTTAATGGAGAAGACTGAGACTTTTGGGTTATGTGCAAGTTACTTTATAGGTATAAGTGCCCTTCTTTTCTAGGTTCTAGGACATACTGGCATTTCTTCTTTAAGGAAAAGAAAAGATAAAAAAGGAATAAAAGATACTACTACCACCAAGGACACTGGAAGTCTACATTAACTTTAGCTCTGCAGGTAGAGACCAATTTACAGGTAAAATGACTAAGGCCCGAAATTGGCACTGCCTAGCAATTATCTATAAAGCACCTAGAAAATTGAAATGCTCAGCTGGAATAGTCTTGTATCTTGCAATTTAAAAGATTGAAATATCTAGGTTTTTTTAGAAGGGATTAAACAATAAGCTTAACACCTATTCTAAAATTTCAAAAGCTTTGCATCTTTTGTCATTACAGCCACATTAAATACAAATGTATTCAAAAAGCATTAGGAAAGCAGTCATTGCTACAAACATAATATTAGACTGTTCACATCTACTGCCATATCTCTATTAGGTCAAATATATAGCAATGTCAAAGCAGCTAAGTTAACCTGCAAACAAAATCACAGAAAAAAATGCAAAGGGAGCAAGTACAAATCCACTGTAGAATGTACTGTCTCAATTCAACCACATGCAAGAAAACAAATCTCTTTTAAAAACCTGTTTTTCCTAAACTGTATATCTCTAGTCAGAATGACTAAAGTAAAAACACTGAAACACTAATTTAAGCAAATAAAATAGAACCTATAATCCAGGTGATTTTGCACATGCCTTTGGCTGAAGAAACAACAGATTTAAATGCCTTGGTTAGGAAAACCAAATTCACATAACCAATTTGTAGTTAATAGTTTTGGGGTGTTTGTATTTATTTAAGTACAAAATCCCCCATACCACTGGTTCTAAGATCAGAACTAAAAGTAAATATATCTTAAATTGAATAGTATTGCATGTTGGAACTTGTACTTGCTTTATTAATTTGGAACAGAGATCACATATGCATTAGTGTTACAGAGTCTGATATCCAGCATAACTTTTTCTTCTGCCAATTAGGTAAGCAATCACTATAACGATAATCAAGCCTGAAAGACCAGCACCAACTATAATTGGTATTAGAATGGTGTCATCATCCAGCGAACACTCCTGGGCTGTAGGTGAGAAAAAGTGTGTAACAAATAATGAGTATAATAAAAAAAAAGAATGTCCAAAAGTAAAAGATGTTGACTCAAAAGTCAGAAGTGCTCTTACAATTTCAACTTTAAGTAATTAAGACAGTATATTTTAAAGATAAAGCTATAGAATATTATAGATTGCTCTAGAATTAAAATCCTAAAACTCATTTGTTCTTTTATTCGTATATGATTGTACGTATATTCATATATATGAACACATATATATTTGTATCTATGAGTAAATGCATACATGTGTACATGTTTTTTTAATTTATATTCAAAGTCCTTTCCAAAACAGGAGTATTACTTTATTTAAAATGAAGTGAGCTAATCTAGCCCATTTCACATGGCAAGACGAGCCTCTCAGTGGTAGAGTGAATGTCTTTTGGGAGACTGGGACCAGATCAGGATGGTTTAATCATGGGATTAGGATGGCCAGACTAGTTCTGGAATCCTTTAGACAGAGAACGGCAAACTAGCCCATGGGCCAAATTTGGCCCAAGAGCTAAAAATGGCTTTTAAACATTTTACAATGGTTTAAAAGAAACAAAAAAGAATATTTTGAGACATGAGAATTATATGAAATTCAAATTTCAGTGTCCACAAATAAAGTTTTATTGGAACACAGCCACACTCATTTGGTTATTGCCTATGGCTGTCCTTGTGCTACAATAGCAGAGCTGACTAGTTGTGAGAGAGACCATATGGCCTTCAAACCTTAAACATTTATTGTCTGGGCCTTTATAGAAAAGTATACGGATCCCTGACTTAGAGCACATGATTTTAGTGGCTGCAAAAGTCAAGAAACTGGGACCTCTTACTACTTTGAGTGTGTTTATTACATTAATCATACATTTATCAATCTGGTCAGGATTGGCAGTCCATAGAATATTTTTTTTTCTTTTCCTAGGGAGTAGTCTGATCCAGTAAAATCCAATCAATATTCTTTTACCTTACTACAAGTTTATTTCTTTCTCCTATATAGTCACGTATTACCACTGTGTTGTATTTATAGGCACCTATAGTCAAGAACATAGCCCAACAAATTGGTGATACATTCATCATCAAGACAGGGATTGGCAAAAGCAGATTACAGTTGTTCATATGGAAAAATACAAAATAATAATACAAGAATAAACTGTTTCGTGTACTCACAACTATAGACCTACTTTTGCCTACCCTTATATTAAATGCTGTATACTCCTTTGGGTGAGATTTTAAATTACATGCACATAAACAGCAAAGTTTCAAATTAGAGAATTTACAGAGCTCATCTCTATTACAACTGACTAGATATACAGGCTTGAGCTGATATTATACTGCAAATAACTTTAAATTCTAAACACATATCTGGACCTAAAATTAAGGTAATAATGTAGAGGAGCTAGATAAAGACTCAAGAAGAAAATCATTAAAGGATCAAAATAATTGAAGTAAAAAAGAAAAAAAAACAAAAGGGAAAATAAATGTTTTTAAAAGTTTAAAGTGTGATTGACCTCTCTTATCGCAAGAATGGTAGTAGGGCGAAGAACCCAATTTATTGTGACCTAACCAAGTCAGGCTAGGTGTTCAGCACTACTGCAAAAGTAGCTGAATTGCTCAGAGCATATTGATTTTTAAACACAGCTTCTACATTTTTTTCTAAACCAGGGGTGGGGAACCTTTTTTCTGCCAAGGGCCAGATGGATATTTATAACATTCGTGGGCCATACAAAATTATCAACTTAAAAATTAGCCTGCTATATTTGGTCAAATATTTATTTAATTCACCCTAATGCCTAAGCAGGGCCAGACCAAATGATTTCGTGGGCCTTATACGGCCCACGGGCTGGACGTTCCCCACCCCTGTTCTAAACCATGGAATTAATAGTTAAAAATGCTGTGGATGACTGGATAGCTGTGCTCAGTAGAGCTGCAATTCACAAATCAACAATTTTAGGTACAGGGTTTAAAAGGGCAAGTCAATTAAGGAATTTTATGTACTTTTTCCTTCATGCAAATTTTAATCTTGCAATGCCAAATGCATCTTTCATACTCATATAAACACTGTAGTGAGCTGCTTGCAAAGGTTTCATTAAAAATCTGATAAACACTATCATAAGGACTGAGTAGATCTTCAAAAGGGCTCATTCACACTGGCACATGATTTTTAAATTCTCCAGATCATTCTGGCTGGCCAAAGCATAGTTCCTGATATTTGAGGCTTTGCTACCATAATCTTTTGTCTCAACAAAATATGACCAAAATGCTTTTATTCAAGTATGAAAATGTTTCCAGCTGGAAGATGGCCCCAAGGCAGAAGCCAGATGCTCAAAGCTGCTGTTCCCAAGTGCCATCCTTCTCACAAACTAAAACCTGGGGCAACGTCCCTACCTTACGTAAATTTGGCTCATGTAAAGCTTTTATCAGTTTTTAGCTTTAAGAAGTTTGTTGCAAATGGTTTTCAGATAACACAAAAATCTATGTTGAGCAAAATGATGAGCCAAATATAGAGTGACACAACTTGCTCAAGGCTTTGAGAACTCTACCATGGAGTCAAGAGGCGAGTTTATATTTCTCTAGTTCAATGCTTAAGTATTCATGACTCAAAGGAAAAGTCAACATAAGACCATCAATTATTAATAATTCTGGTTTGACTCTTACCTGTAGAATACTTTCCTTCTATCACATTGAAAGGCTGAACCCTTAGATAAAAGGTATTTATCTGAAATGCTCCAGACACTGAAACCGTCTGCTCTTTGTTGCACATATAAGAACTTCCCAGGGGGGCATCCCAGTAGCTAAGGTTGTTATTTGCAATGCTGAAAACTTCAAAGAAAAAAATACGTTAGTAACATCTTATCCTATTAACATAAAAAGTGAGACTGAACTCAGAATTTTTCAGTGAAGTATAAGAGCTTGGGGTACAAAGTCTACCTACAAAAAGCAATTCTTCCCGTCACTAGATTCCCTTTCTTTCCTTTTTTTCTAAATTTAAGTAGAGTTGGTATACAATATTATGTTAGTGATATTAGTTTCATGTGTATAATATAATGATTCAACATTTTGTACCTTATAATATAGTAGTAATCAACTCACTAATTCTATTCATTATCTGTCACTGTTCCCTGCTTTTTCTATAGATGTTTCTATAGTCTAAAAATCAGTCACATCCTTAACTATTACCCACCATGATTTGAAAATATGGTATACTGCAAAAGATAGACTACTATAGTTCTAAGTTACTGATTTTAAGTTGTAAAGTATGATTTTTCACACAAAATCTTCTGTCCCATTAGGTAAGGCACTATTTGGTAACAAGACAATTATGGTTTCTATTCCTTCAGTGTAACACACACTCTTTACCCTGAGGCCAATATTTTGCTTACCAGAGCCATTAACCAAATACATGCTGACATTCACTTCCTTCAGATAGAATCGGTTTTCATTTTTCTATTAAAAAAAATGAGTTTGCAGTTAATCAACACATCATAAGGACTGTTTCATATTAGAGAATCTACAGAGCTCATCTCTATTACAGCTGACTAGATATACAGGCTGGAACTGATATTATACTGCAAATAATTTTACAGGTAGTTACTATCTACAGAATAAAATCAATCAAATACCATTACCCAAAAGATACAACTATGAATTAAAACTCTATTCAACATAAAGTATTATTCTACAGGTCTAATTGCTGTGCTCGGCAGAGATGCAATCCCCTGGGGGTCTTGGAATGTTTCAGTGGGTGTTGGAATTTAATATTAGAAAAAATTGTAACTAAGTAGAAAATATAAAATGGGACAGAAACCCTTTCCCTCTGCATTTTGTTTCCAATTTTTGGACCAGAGATATGGTTCTCAGACACTCAATTCATTTCCTCCATTTTATTCCTCCTGTCACTTGCTAAGCCCTCCCCACCTCTAGCTTGAATCATAATAGCCTCTAACTGAGCTCCCTGCCTTTCAGCCTCTCAAACTCAAGCTTTCCTTCTCTGCTATTATTTTTCTGAAGCACTCATCTGATTAGCCCATCATTCCAATTATGTCAGTGCTTAGTATGTACAAGGTAACATATTGAAGTGCTCCAGGGAGCTAGCAAAATGAACCAGATTTAAATCCTGCACCCCCCGCCCCACCCCTTGCCCCGTTTGCAATCTGCCAGGGAAGATAAGATGAATACAGTAGTCCCCCGTTATCCAGTTTTGCTTTCTGCAGTTTCACTTTCCACGATTTTAGTTGTTCATGATCAACCCCAGTACACAAATCTTAAATGGAAAGTTCCAGATATTTGTAGAGAGAGAAATCACATTCACGTAACTTGTATTACAGTATATTGTTCTAACTGTTCTATTTTATTGTTTATTGTTAATCTCTTACTATGGCCAATTTATAAATTAAATTAATCATCAGTATGTATGTATAGGAGAAAACACAGTATATATAGAGTTTGGTGCTATATGTAGTTTTAAACATCCCCTGGGGGGGGGGTCTTAGAATGTTCCAGTGGGTCTTGGAATGTAATATATTCACTGGCCATATAGGTACTATAACAGAGGAATGATTTGAATGTTAGAAAAGGAAATATTTTTTGTAAACCTTTCTAAAATATAATTAGATATAATCCTCAATTATTCAGCATATATTCCATAGAGAAAAAAGGTTTTATGTTCAAGAAACCTAGTTCAGATATGAAACAATTAACAGACCTAAATTTATATATATATATATATATATATATATATATATATATATATATATATACTGTACATAAATAACCATATTACAAAAAGAAAGTGATTAAGTTATGAAAATGAAAAGGAGAAAAATTACTTCCAACTAAGGGAGGAGCAAAAGTAATGCAAGCTTAAGGATGGGCCATTTGAATTGGGTAGGATTCAATTAGAAAACAAACAGAAAAGGGTATTCAAGAAGGCAACAACATGAGTAAAGGTAGAAAATAAGTGTAATCATGCCCTAGCTGGTTTGGCTCAGTGGATAGAGTGTCAGTCTGGGGACTGAAGGGTCCTGGGTTCGATTCTGGCCAAGGGCACATGCCCGGGTTGTGGGCTCAGTCTCCAGTGAGGGGCATGCACGAGGCAGCCGATCAGTGATTCTCTCTCATTGATGTTTCTATCTCTCCCTCTCCCTTTCTCTTTGAAATCACGAAAAATAAATTTTAAAAAAATAAGCATAATCACAAATATACTAGTACCTGAGAATTTACTAAGTGCTAAGCACTGTTCTTAAAACTTTACATATGAAGCTTCATTGAATAATTACACCACCCCATTTTGAGATGGGGTAATCAAAGTGAAGAGATGTTAAGTAACTTTCCCAGAGGCTATATGGTTAGTAGTCAGTGAGCTGGGATTTGAATCCAGGAGGTCTGGCTGCAGAGCCTGTGTGCTGGTTACTACCTATCTCCTACCTCACTGGATTGTGTACAGAAAACAAGATGAGGAAAGCATGAGATTCATGAAGAGGGAACGAAGGAAACAAAGCTGGATTGCAGGTTACATTTGCACAGTGTCAGGGAAGGAGGCTAGAACTAACTACCCTGCCAGGGATTTAGATGTTATCTTATTGGCAAAACAGAACCACTGGAGGTTTCTGAGGAAGAGATGTGCTTCAAGAAGATTAGCCGATGCAGAACATTGAGGGAGGAGAGGAAGAAGAGGGATTAATTAAGAAGACTGAATAGTCCAGGTATGAGGTAATGCAAGTTGGAATCAGGACAAAGGCAGTAGGGAATGAAAACGAGGGGGCAGACTCAGAAATTTCAGAAGGAAGCATAAAGGAAGACTTGACCACCTCTTCACATCTCTCCTCTGCTTAGGCTATGTCCTGGCTCAGCATTCAAGGCTCTCCATAATTTGTCCCAAACACTATTCCATATTTATCTTTTACTAAACATGCTACATGCCTAATTTTCTTGGCTGGTCTTGACTGGGTTCCTTTATCCAGAGATAACCTGTACTTTTGTACTCACTCTCCTTGTGTACAAATCTGACCCATCCTTGAAGGTCCAGCTCAAATGTAATCTATTCCATTAAGCTTTCCTAACTCACCACCAGCCAGAGTTAACCACTCCAGCCTCTGTACTCCCATAGCACCTTGTATTTTCCTCTGGTCTAACACTCATCTCACTTTGTATGTACCTTCTACAATACTCTATTGCCCACAGAATCAAATTCAAAAGTCTCAGCATGGCATTCAAGGTCTTCCTCAAAACAGTAATTACTTGTCTATTTCTATCTTTACCACTAAACTGTGGGCACCTTGAGAATATATGCCTTCTTTGTATCCCACCATAGCATCCTGCAAATAATACACTGGAATTCAATAAATTCTCCTTTGGAAGCATCTATCATGAAGGTGAGATGGGCCCCACTGAACTCTAATGATATTACAGGTTTTTCCAGAATTTTCAAAGTGCCTGTAGCATGGTTAAAATAGAACTATTCTGGATTGCACTTTAAAATAATCTGTTAGGCAAATTAAATATTGTAATTATTAAATATTTTCCCATTAGAGTCAGAAGAAACCATGGTCCTTTTAGGATCTTACCATATATAGAAAGATCAAACTCAATCCCTCAAAAGGGAATAAACCTAAAATATTAATTTCCTCATTCTTAGTGACTATAGTATAATCACCATGCAACTTTAAAAGATAATGTGTCACCTGGCTGGTGTGGCTCAGTGGCTGAGTGTTGACCTATGAACCAGGAGGTCATGGTTTGATTCCAGATTAGGGCACATGCCCGGGTCAGGGCACATGCCCAAGTTTCAGGCTCGATCTCCAGTGTGGAGCATGCAGGAGGCAGCCAATCAATGGTTCTCTCTCATCATTGATCTCTCTCTCTCTCTCTCTCCCCCTCACTCTGAAATCAATAAAAAATATTTTTTAAAATAAAAGAGGATGTGTCTGGGGAGGCCTGCTCTTACCACATTGAAAAGGAGAAGTGTAACTAAATGGTTTTAATAGTAATTCACTGATCATATCCTATCTAATAATAGACAAATGTGGTAACTGACTGTAACTTCGCTACACCTCCCATTGGCTAATCAGTGAGATATGCAAATTAACTGCCAACAAAGATGGCGGCTAATTTGCATACTGCAGGCAGGGCAGGACAGCGCAGCCACCAGCGATTGGTGTGAACTACAGAGGAAACACCTTTTCTGACTACTCATTGGTTAAGCTCCCTGTAAGCCACCGGTAATAGTCTTAGTAACTTGGGTAATAAGAATCCAAAAAGGTGATCTAGGGTTTTTTACCACACTCCTGGCGAAAGAAACGAAGGTCGCTGCTGAAGGGCTAAGAAATGTCATATCCTGCCCTAGCCACTTTGGCTCAGTGGATAATGCCTTGGCATGCCGATGGCAGGGTCTGACTAAGGGCATGTACCTAGGTTGCAGGCTTCTCCCTGGCCGGGGCCCAGGTCAGGGCTCATGTAGGAGGCGACCAATCAAAGTGTTCCTCTCACTTTGATGTTTCTCTCTGTCTTTCCCTTTCTCTTCCACATTCTCTAAAAATCAATGGAAACATATCCTCAGGTGAGGATAAAAAAAAAATAATAAAGAAATTATTATTATATGAAAGACACATCTTGAAAATGCCTAAAGAGAGTTGTCATTTTTTCATGGTAAAGGGACTGGAGTCCGTGTTGTTGAAAAAACCTTGCTGGCTGCGGTGACTGGCAGTGGCTGCAGCAGCGGGGTGATGGGGCTGGTGCCTTCCCCTGATCATTCCAGTCACCTCCCACAAAGGTGGGCCAGACTGCGGCTTAGGCCCGCTCCCCAAGGGGAGCAGGGAGCAGGCCTAAGCCGTCACTAGGACATCCCCTGAGGGCTCCCAGTATGCGAGAGGGGGCAGGCTGGGCTGAGGGACACTCCCCCTCCCCAGTGCACGAATTTCGTGCACTGAGCCCCTAGTACAGTGATGGCGAACCTTTTGAGCTCGGCGGGTCAGCATTTTGAAAAACCCTAACTTAACTCTGGTGCTGTGTCACATATAGAAATTTTTTGATATTTGCAACCATAGTAAAACAAAGACTTATATTTTTGATATTTATTTTATATATTTAAATGCCATTTAACAAAGAAAAATCAACCAAAAAAATGAGTTTGTGTGTCACCTCTGACACGTGTCATAGGTTCGCCATCACTGCCCTAGTATGTAGTATAACAGAGGAATGATTTGAATGTTAGAAAAGGGAAGATTTTTGTAAACCTTTCTAAAATGTAATTGTCTAATATAATCCTAAGTTTCTTGGCATTATATTCCAGAGAGAAAAAAAGGTTTTAGGCTCAGGAAACCAAGTTCAGATATAAAACAATAACAGATTAACTTTTTCTATATCAGATGTCAAGACTATTTTCATATCCCTTAGATACACACACACCCCTCTAAAAATTGTGGGAATAATAACTGCTTCTGAGAAGGTGAAAATAAAGGTTCCCAATGATTCATTTATGCTAGCAAGAAGTAGAGAATGTGTGCTTAACTTGGAACTTTCTGTTTAAGATTTAGACCTTGATACAAATATGAACAAAAACCTCAATGCTGCCATTATAAACTGTCTTGATTTAATTAATTAATGCATGCAAAGTATTTATACACAGCCTTATCGATATCAATTACTCAAATGTAGCTGTTATTACTGGTACTATTACAAATAGTATAGCTTCCAAAATGCCTAATATATTATAGTACACAAACATGAGAGTTTTCTAACCAATAATAGAGAAAAATAGTATGGATATTACTTTATTTTTTATATCTATACTAGAGGCCCGGTGCACAAAATTGTGCACAGGTGGGGTCCCTCGGCCTGGCTGGTGATCAGGGCTGATCGGGGCCATCTCGCCCAGTCCTGACCAGGCTGATCGGGCCGCCAGCCAGGGGGAGGAGCCACGGGAGGTTGGCCGGCCATGGGAGGTTAGCTGTGGGAGCGCACTGACCACTAGGGGGCAGCTCCCGCATGAGTATCTGCCCCCTGGTGGTCAGTGTGCATCATTGCTACCAGCCGGTCATTTGGTCGTCTGGTCCTAATGGTCGCTTAGGGTTTTATATATATACTAGAGACCCGGTGCATGATATTCGTGCACTTGGGGGAAAGGGTCCCTCAGCCTGGCCTGTGCCCTCGCGCCAGCAGTCAGACATCCCCCAAGGGGTCCTTAGTGCTGCTGTGGAGGTGGGAGAGGCTTCCGCCACTGCCGCTGTGCTCACCAGCCATGAGCCTGGCTTCTGGCTGAGTGGCGCTCCAAGCACTGACCACAAGGGGGCAGCTCCTGCATTGAGCGTCTGCCCCTTGGTGGTCAGTGCGCATCATAGCGACCAGTCATTCTGCCATTTGGTCGATTTGCATATTAGCCTTTTATTATATAGGACTAGAGGCCGGGTGCACAAAAATTTGTGCACTGGAGGGGGGCGGGTCCCTCAGCCCAGCTTGCCCCCTATCACATACTGGGAGCCCTAGGGGATGTCCTACTACCCGCTCCCTGCTCCCCTTGGGGACTGGGCCTAAGCCACAGTCTGGCCTTTCTTTGTGGGAGTCAACCGGGCTGATCAGGGGAAGGCACCAGCCCCATCACCCCGCTGCTGCAGCCACTGCTAGTCACCGCAGCCACCAAGGTGTTTTCATCAGCACGGACTCCAGTCCCTTCACCATGAAAAAATGACAACTTTCTTTAGGTATTTTCAAGAAGTGTCTTTCATAGGATATGACATTTCTTCCTTTCTTCCTTCCTTCCCTTCCTTCCTTCCTTCCTTCCTTCCTTCTTTCCTTCCTTCCTTCCTTCCTTCCTTCCTTCCTCCTCCCTCCCTCCCTCCTTCCCTCCCTCCCTCCCTCATTCCTTCCTTTCTTTCATTCTCCTCACCTGAGGATATGTTTCCATTGATTTTTAGAGAATGTGGAAGAGAAAGGGAAAGACAGAGAGAAACATCAAAGTGAGAGGAACACTTTGATTGGTTGCCTCCTGCATGAGCCCTGACCTGGGCCTGGGCCAGGGAGGAGCCTGCAACCTAGGTACATGCCCTTGGTCAGAATTGAACCCAGAATCTACGTTGGGCAGGCCGAGGCATTACCCACTGAGCCAAACCAGCTAGGGCAGGATATGACATTTCTTAACCCTCCAGCAGCAGACCTTCCTTTTTTTCTCCAGGAGTGTGGTAAAAAAACCCTAGATCACCTATTTGGACTCTCATTACCCAAGTTACTAAGAATATTACCAGTGGCATACAGGGAGCTTAACCAATCAGCAGTCAAAAAAGGTGTTTCCTCTGTAGTTCACACCAATTGCTGGTTTAGCCCTGGGCCGGGGCACCCCCAGCTCCCCACCGCTGCCACCATCAACGATGGCTGGCTCAATGATCACTGGCTGGCTCCTCCCCGGCCCAAGGCTAAAGCCTCAGGCCAAGGTTTTAGGCCTGGGCCAGGGCACCTCCAGCTCCCTGCAGCTGCTGCCGCTGCCATCAAGGATCGCTGGCTGGCTCTGCCCTGGTTCCCCACCGCTGCAGCCATCAGTAATCCCTAGCTGGCTCCTCCCCGGCCCAAGCCTAAAGCCTCTGGCCGAGGCATTCGGCCTTGGCCGGGGAACCCCCAGCTCCCCGCCGCCGCCTCCGCCATCAACAATTGCTGGCTGGCTCCACCCCGGCCCTGGCCTAAAGCCTCAGGCCGAGGCTTTAGGCCTGGACCAGGGCACCCCCAGTTCCCCTCTGCCGATCGCTGGCTGGCTCCGCCCAGGTTCCCCGCCGCAGCCGCCATCAAGGATCGCTTGCTGGCTCCACCCTGGCCCAAGCCTAAAGCCTCTGGCTGAGGCTTTAGGCCTGGGCCGGGGCACCCCCAGCTCCCTGCTGCCGCCGCCATCAAGGATTGCTGGCTCAACGATCGCTGGCTGGCTCCTCCCTGACCCAGGCCTAAAGCCTCAGTCCGTGGCTTAGGGATGACATATGCAAATTAGCTGCCATCTTGGCTGGCGATTAATTTGCATATCTCGCTGATTAGCCAATGGGAAGGGTAGCGAAGTTACGGTTAATTACCATGTTTCTCTATTATTAGATAGGATATACTAGAGGCCCAGTGCACAGATCGTGCACTGGTGGGGGCATGGCCTGAGAGGATCAGCCCGCTGTGGGAGCAGATGTTCATCCTGGTCAGCAGAGCAGTGCTCCTACTGTGAGAGCACACTGGCCACCAGGGGGCAGCTCCTGTGTTGAGCGTCTTCCCCCTGGTGGTCAGTGCACGTTATAGAGACTGGTCAACTGGTCATTCTGGTCGTTCTGCTTTTCAGTCACTGGGCTTTTATATATATATATATATATACACACACACACACACACACACATATACGTGTGTATATATATATATACATATATATACACACACATATGTATACATACTTTTTATATATGGAGCGATTAGACAGTTGTTTTTTTAAATATATTTTTATTGATTTCAGAGAGGAAGGGAGGGGAAGAGAGAGATAGAAACATCAATGATGAGAGAGAATCATTGATCACCTGCCTCCTGCATGCCCCCTATTGCAGATCAAGCCCACAACCCGGATATATGCCCTGACCAGTGACCTCCTGGTTCATAGGCTGATACTCAACCACTGAGTCACACTGGCTCGGCTAGACAGTTTTTTTGATGTGGGTTGATTCTTACTCCTACCCTAAGATCTATATAAATGCAGAATAGCCACAATTGGTGAACATTAATGTAAGAGTCCAGCCACAGACCATTGAGGTGACCCTGAGGGATTAACAGGAATCAATGGACTACACTCTATAATTAAGTAGTGTTGAAATGGAAAATAGAGCTAATTATCTCCCCAAAACACACACACACACACACACACACACACACACACACACCTATTTATACTTTCAGATGTCTTTCTGAGAGAATAAGCCTAATTTTAGAAAAATCTATTACTCACCACAGCAAAGACAAAGTCAAGATACTTAATGTTGCTGCCGTTCAGCCTAAGTAGAGCAGTTTGAGAATGGCAGCTGCCAGTGAAGTCAGTTGTATTGGGTTTGATGTTAATAACTGTAACAACCTTTAAGGGAAGAAGGGGGGAGGAAGGTACAGATTAGCCACAAATGTCTACAACAAAACCTTATAATCTAATAAGACCAACTTTAGTGGAGAACAAAAAAATCCTTTTGTCTGGATACTTAAGTTTATGATGTCTTACTTTCAAACAAAGTTGGCACAGGCCTTCAAGCTGTGACTCAGATGACTTTAAAAAAAAAAGAAAAACAAGAGGGAAAGCTTCCTTAGTAAGGAGCCAAATGAAAATACACATAATTTATGGAGCAAGAGCTGTCTGGCTTGTTTAAGTCACAGGTCTCTGGAAATGGGATTTGTTTGTTGGTACACCCTCTGTAGCCTCAGTGGAACACTGCAACTAGAAGTTCCATGCTGTATGTGGACATATCTATATGATTCCAGTCATCAAACAGCTGGAGAAATAGATAGCTACACTGTTCTCATACATCAACCTATAGCGTATGTTTTTGATGAAAGTGTGAAGGAATTATATTTAAACTGACTGAAATAACGATCAACTCTGATATTGCCTAATCTATTGATGGCAAATGGAATCTAAACCCAAACAGTCTGTTAAACTGCGAGGTTTCCCACTGCCCGAGATAACACCTTGAGAACAACATTAACTCTTCATGGTTATAGTAACTCCAAACTCACCAAAACTCAATGAGTCAACATCAAATCTCCATTTAAAATGCCATCATTCTAATAACACTACGCTTGAGCTGAATGTAGGCTATACTACTTGAAAGGAGATGCAAATAGAATGTAGCATAAAAATAAACAACCATACTTTATATTGAGTGATATCTATAGACAACTATACCTTATCTTGAGTCATGTTCAACTGCAGCCCCATGGTAGCCAGAAGACAAGTGCCATTGGTATTATTAACTGAATAGGATCCAATCTCTGGTTTTTCCTTTTGAGCAGGTGTTGTAGTAGGAGATGGTAAAGTGGTGGGAGTAACGGGCACAACAGTGGTTGAAGTTTTATCTTTATCACACAGAAACTCTAAAACAAAGGACAAAATAAATTAAAGTAGACTTTTTCTTAACTCATGAAGGCCTAGGAAGAGCAAACTATTTATCACAATAGCAGTCCAAAAGAAGGGGAGGGAATACCTCGATAGATATTTTAAAATAAATGAGTCAGAGTTCTCAAACTGCTGCTTCATATGCAGACAATCTCTAAGAGTTATGACACAGCAAACAGGCTTGACACACACAAATGCTTTATCTACTCAAACATGGCCAGCTGCAAATCCATCATTTCAGACACTTAAGTCCCTTTATTCCCAAAGAACTTCACTGCCTCTTATGTGAAAATCAGAGACTTAAGTTTGAAAACATTTTGCTCCAATGTAGGCCTGCCCCCTTCTCTCCCACATACAACCACTATAAAGATAGTGTTTACCAGAAGAAAGTTTGGAGATTATTGAAGGATTTAAATACAAATGAACTTTTTATTTGTGTTACCCCTAGAGCAAATCATAGGTATTTCAACCTCTTTTTAGGAAGTATTGGTAGTTTCCCAGAACTGATGAATGAGAAATTGTTACAGTTATATACAGTTATATGAAAATTATAAAACCAATTTATAAAATTCAAGATTAGAACTCAGAAATAAAATTTCTATGCTTTGGACTTGCATCATCAAAAGTGAAAGAGCTGATGATCAAATACTATTTGAGGATTTGATCAAACAAAGACTAGGTTGTATCGGCTGAAAACACTATAAATAAAGCATTTTAATATACCATTCCAGCCTAGCTGGCATGGCTCAGTGGTTGAACATCAACCTATGAAACAGGAAGTCATGGTTCGATTCCTAGTCAGGGGACATGCTCAGGTTGCAGGCTCAATCCCCAGTGGGGGGTATGCAGGAGGCAGCCTATCAGTGATTCTCTCTCACCATTGATGTTTCTATCTCTCTCTCTCTCTCTGAAATTAATAAAAATATTTTTAAAATACCATTCCACAAGAGGTACATTATAAAATTAAAATTATAAGTTCCATAAGAATAAGAATTATTATTTATAAAAATATTATAGTCCAGTGTAAACTATGAATAAATCTTAGTATATGCTTGCTTGCAGGTAACAACTTCAACAAAGCTACCTGGTATACTCATCTTAATTTAGGACCCAAGTACAGGAACATATACTTTAAGGAGTCACCTTTTGTGCTCACTGTGCCATTTTGGACAAAAGCTTGTACATGAACATCCCAATAGTGCTGGATAACATCTTTCTTTTCTGCAGTCAACATACTATTGCATCTAAAGATGTCATTCAATGGAATTCTGAATGCCACAGGTTCATGAACAGTAAAAATTCCTGTAAAAAAAGATTAACAATAGCTGTTTTTAGGAAGGTAGGAAAAAAAGTGATAATATAAATATGCATTACACTTTCTTCTCTTCTGCCCCATCTCCAAAGTGACAGAGGACATGGCATCTTCAGGGAATGACACATTCCCTATGGATGAAACACAGGGTACAAGAGAAATGGAGGTTAGGAAGGGAAGACAAGCTGCAGGTGGTCACACTCTGAAGCATCTTATATGATTAAAGGACAGGTTAATGGGGCTTTATTTTTTAGCAGTGGGAGGTCAGCTCCAGTTTTTAAAGCTGGAAATAAATAACACATGTACAATTTATTTTAAAGGCGATAGCAAAATTATGAGATAGGCAGGGGAGAAAAATGTTAGGGAAAGTCATTTAAGAGGGAAACCACTTAGAAGTCTGATGACATGGTTAAGGTAAAAAGCAAGGAGGGGGATGCCTAAACTAAGATGGTGAGAGGAAGAGAGCAAAGAGGCAAGGCTGAAAACATATCTAAGGTAGAATCAACAGGACAGTGACTAAAAAGGAAGACAGATGCATTAATCAGGGATTTTATAGTAGATCCTTATTTCTGTGCTACTATCCCAAAGTAAGTTATAGTAAGTACATGAATTTTTGGAACCTCTTCTTGGATAGAATTTAAAGACTATTCCATTTCATGAAATCTTCAGAATGTGAAAGCAGTAAGTTATAGCCATTCTGTACATAGTATTTATTATAATTCCTATAGTAAAACTTCAAAAGACTGTGACCACACTTATCCACCCAAATGGCTTAGTTTCTTTTGGAGAAGCAGTAAGGAAGGTACTATTCAAGGTCCATAATACAGGCTGCTTTTTGTGCCTCTCCATCATATAGCCCAGCAGCCAGTTAATGCTGCCTTGGCGCCCCCTAATGACCAAAGAAAAAAATTTTAACCAATAAACTAGAACACTTGTTTTTACCCTTAACGTAAGTGAACAGCTACATGAACTCGCTGTATTTAGACCTCAAAAAACAAATTAATAAAAAAAAACAAGTTGTAGAAATATTGACTTACAGTATAAAACTATCATTTTAAACTATGTATTGTTTATGAACATATCTACTGACATGTGTATTAGTCAAGAAGGAACAAATAGACAGAAAGGCTATACTGCAAATTCATGAGAGTGGTTACGTTTCAGGAGGCAGGGAGGAAAATGGCTCTAGACTAGAGAGTGGGTACAAAGGAAACGTCAAATGTATTTGTAAGATTTTATTTATTTAGCCCAGCCAGCATGGCTCAGTGGATGAGCATCAACCTATGAACCAGGCGGTCACAGTTCAATTCCCGGTCAGGGCACATGCCTGTGTTGTGGGCTCAATCCCCAGTGTGGGACGTGCAGGAAGCAGCCGATCAATTATTCTCTCTCATCATTGATGTTTCTATCTCTCTTTCCCTCTCCCTTCCTCTCTGAAATCAACAAAAATATATTTAAAAAATAAAATTAAAAGATGAGGCAAAATGTGAAAAACAATGGCATTTACTAATTCTGGGTAATGGGTACACGTGGGCCTGTTATATTATTCTTGGTACTTTTCTGTATTTTAATCAAGAAAAAAACTCTTTAAAGAAAACAGAAATTTCCAAGTCACTTCAATTATCAGAAGCCTAAAAAGAAAACACAAAATTATTTAAAAAACCATCAACAGTCCATTTAAGGAAGCCCTTTTAAATTCCAAATAGTTTCAAAATATTACACAGATGCTAGTAATAAAAAAAAATCTGCATTCTCCTTATTTAAAATAAAAGGTGGATGAAATAGGTGTTAGCTTTTAGAGTCCAAAGTTTTCCCATCAATCTGTCAGATTAAACCCCACCTCCTTTTCTTGCCACCCATTTGGTCCAGGCACTCATCACATCATACCTTAATTACTATAATAGCCTTTGAAGCTGGCTTCTCTGGATGCAGTCTCCTCACTTCCAAATTAATTCTGCAGAATATTCTTTATAAACTAGTAGTCTCTGCTTTGGTTATATTGCTCTCCTGGTAAAAAACTAAAATGGTTCCCCAGTGCCTACCCTATCAAGCTAAATGCCTTTCCTTGGCTTCCAAGGCTCCCTATAACTTAGACCCATTGCCACCTGGCCAACTTGATTTTCTTGGCTGCTACACACACAGCCTCTATTTTAATCTGGCAGCTTTTCAATTACTGCCACACACACGATGCTTCCCCCTGCTGGAAATACTCTGCTCAAAATTCTCTGCTTACTCTAATTCTACATTAGCAGAGTTTCAGCTCAGGTCCTACTTTTTCACTTCAACACACACTGACCTCTCCTTTCTCTGTGCTCTTTCTTAATCAGGACTACTTATAAGAACACTTTAAATCTGACCTCTTAACTGCAGGCATGCACAGATGGGCTCAGGGACTATGTACAATATGCAAAAGTCACTCTGTATTTTGAGAGAGAGGGTCTAGAGCATCGGTTCTCAACCTGTGGGTCGCGACCCCTGAAAATACATCCTGCATATCAGATATTTATATTACAATTCATAACAGTAGAAAAATTACAGTTATGAAGTAGCAACGAAAATAATTTTATGGTTGGGGGTCACCACAACATGAGGAACTGTATTAAAGGGCCGCAGCATTAGGAAGGTTGAGAACCACTGGAGAGCTTCTCTCACATTGTCAGAAAAGATGTATGAGTCCTCCAACCTCCCAAGCACAAACAACAACTTCACACAGATCTCAATGCCTTCTAATTTTCCCATATAAATTGAAAAAATAATTTCACTTTGTCTCTCCAACTAGTTTTTAAGCTCCTTGAGGGGCAAATCTTATACTAGCTCTGAAATACAATGTAGGGCACAAAACTAAATATATATGATATCTCATAACAAATTTGCTTTAGTTATCCCCCTCAAACTAAGAGATTGGTAAAAAAGAAAACTAGGATTTGATTTCCAAATCTAAGTCTGCGATAACTCCCATTTTATATGACCACATTCACTTCTGAGTCCTTAAAATATGATCTTTTAATATCCATATATCCAAATGAGTTATTTATCTCCAGGTCTAGGCAACTGAAGTCTCTGTATCTATTTCTGGGGTCAGAATGAAATATTACTGGTGAGAAATGCTAAGCTACTACAAACATCATGTTAACTCAACCTCAACAGAGGGGGAAGAAAGGAGAGAATTATATCCCTAACACAATGGAAATCTCCATTATCTATGCCTTCAAAACATTTTAATACACATTTCAGTTCTAGTAGTTACAGTGGTAACCTAATTGCCAATGCTTTCCCCAAGTTCTTTTTGACCTGATATTTCTCAAAATAGCAGTAAATGTTGACTCCAGTCATTTTATCTTTAATTAATCATCATTTACTTGTTGGCAAAATCCTATCAAAATGCTAGAAAGATTTGCAGATGAAGCATTTCTGCTCCTTTTAGATTACTGAATTTGTACACATTTAAAATAGTTATTAATAAAGGATTTGCTCATTGATTCAACATTTATTGAGTGCCCATTGAATGAAATAAATAGTAATAGTTAAGTGTGTAGCTCAATAGACTTTGGTTCAAAAAAACAGCTCACCCACTTACTAGCCTGTGTGACGTTTGGGAAAGTAATTTAATATCATCAAGCCTCATTCCTTTTACCTGTAAAGTTGGGAAAATATCTACTTCTCAGGCTTATTGGTAAGGATTAAGGTACTATCTGATACAAAGCATAGCAAATATCAATGCTGTGTTGAACACTGTGCTGTACGTGGGTGTGGGAAGGATACAAAAGCATAGTTTCCAGTGTAGTTAGGAAGACATACATGCATTAGCATAATTTTTAAATTATTCACATTTTTATTATTAATAAACAGCAAGAGAACATAACACAAATCCAATTATTAAGGTTACCTTTCTTTTTAGCATCAGGAAATGTTGTGCTATCATTAGTGTCATAGGAAAATGAGATACTTTCAATTAAATAAGTAGACTTCTCCTTTGTAAAATTCACAGTCCAGGAAAAAACAGATCCAAATTGCACCTCAATTTTGGGACCATTCTGGTCATCACCACAGATACTTCCATTGTATGTTGCATTGCCAAGGTCTGAAATGGTTACAGTTTTCTAAAAGAAAAAGAAGTTTGATTTGTGGATGATTAGGTAAAGATGTGGTACATACATACAATGGAATACTACTCAGCCATAAAAAGATGAAATATTGCCATTTGCAACAATATGGATAGGTTTGGAGAGTATTATGCTAAAATGGAAAAGGACAAAAACCATAAGCTTTCACTCATATGTGAAATATAAAATAAAAAGCAATAAACTAACCAAACAAACAAAAACAAACTCATAGATACAGACAACAGGGGAAAGAGAGGTGGGGACGGCAAAATAGGTGAAGGGGGTCAAATATAAGGTAATGGAAACTAGATTGAGTGTTGAGAACACAATGCAATATACAGATGATGCATTATAATTCTGTACACCTGAAAATTACATGATGTTAACCAATAAACCACAATAAATTTAATAGAAATATAAACAAACAAACAAGATGAAGTTGAAATAAAGAAGTTTGGGAGTAAGGAACACACAGACAGTAGTGAGCATCAAGCATTTTCGCGGGATGTGCCACTTTAGTCTACATCACACATCCCCCATGGCTAGTTTGCCCTTTGCCTGATTTGCTGTGTAAACCAGTCTCAGATTCCTCAGCTACACACCAGGTTTCTGGACAAATTCATGTACTATGTCTGAAAGGAAAAGGAAAACTAGCCTGAACTTCTCTTCTTAAGTTGATTTTTTAAAAATCAGGTTGTAAGCAGGCAGGACCTTAACTAAAAGAAAATAAAAAGGCAAAGGGGTTGAGTAGTACTGCCAAAAGGGGAGATTTTTAATAGCAAGCTATTTAAAAAGGGACAAGCTTTGATGTTAATACATGTTAAAAACATTACAGAAGCAGTTAGAACACCATAGAGTCTTCAGATCATTTGCCCTTAAGCAACTCTAAAAAAACTTGAAAGAACCAATTAAAATATTCCTTCCAACACTGATCAGAATACATTCAAGGACACAAGTTTTTTTAAAAACCCACAGAACTTAAGTCAGTTAATATATGAAATCTTATTTGTATAAATGCATGTAAAGGATAAAAAGAATAGAATTAAATTCCTGCTATAAAACTCAAAGAAGAAGAAAAATACTTACATTACTTTTGCTTGTAGTCTCATAGCCTATAGTGAAATTCATCCGCCATTTTGCATAAAGGCAAGTGGCATTTTTTGAATTCGTCAAATTAAGTTCTAATGCATAAGACGAGATAGCTCCTAAAAAGATTAAAAAAGAGTAAGATTTTTAACTTGTACTACAAAAACATATATAAGAACAAGCTCTATCCACCACTGAAGTTCAACCAGCTCTAAAATGAAACAAAGTATTTTTAATAGATATGGTATCTTGGTCATTGTTTTTCTTTTTATCTTTAGTGGAATGTTATTGATAAAGTTAGCGTTTCCTCTTCCCAAAAGAATAATTGCCTGACCTAGGATGTATAGGTAATGGCACAGGTTGGTGACATTAATCTGTGCCTTGCTGGCTTTGTTTTAGGCAATTATAGTTTGCCTGTTCAGATTTTTTGCCCTTTAAGATAAACGAGGTAAGGGGGAGCTTGGAAGGGGTATTAAACTCCTGCTGCTCTCAAACCAGCTCAGGGAACTCTCTCTGCAAAAATAATGATAGATCTGATAGTCAATCGTCTTGTTGCCTTAAGGCCTGTCAGAAACTACATGAACTATGACACACGGATGTCTTGGCAAACTACTTTCTTCTGATGGAAAGAGGTGGGATAACTCTTTTGATGCATGTCTACCATGTGAGCAAAGGAGCAGAGTTGCAAAAGTTGTCTGATCCATAAGCAAAAGGTTATTTTTTTTTATAAATGTACTACTGGTTCATCACTTTTTGTTTCACTTAAAAATCCTATTAATTAGAAAGGCTGATGGATCCTTTGACACGGACTCAAAATCACTTCCTGCGTTGTCAATCTGCTACCTCTTTAGGTAGAGAAACCATGCAGGAGACAGACAAGCCCTTGAGTCTTTTCCGCTAATTTGAGTAAGATCTAAACTAAGCTAAATATAGGGAAGATATTACCTATTATCCTGGAGAGACCGAGGACTCAAGTACTATATGCCAGCAAACACACCAGCAGCTTAAATGATGGGTAACTATCTAAGGATTTTTCTTCACTATTTCACACATTACCCAAGGGATGAGCTGTTTCCTGTTAAGATAGCTGCAGATCCTTTAATGATATCTGAGCAATCTAGAATAATCTACAAGTAGGAACATGTTACAGACTATAGAGAATAAAGTCCTAAGAGGAATACTAAGAAGGTATGCCTCAACAACAGCTTACAAGCTGTACACAAAAGCCTGTCGTCAGGCTCCAGAGCCCAGGCTGCCTTGTCAAGCCTGAATATTGTGCTAAAGCTTGTGGTTACTGACAGTGCCTAACTGTACTGGCTAAGGCTCGAAAAGAACTTGTTAGGCCTAAGTAGGTTTTACGGCCATTCTTTTCTAAGTACAATATGGAATGGAGCTGTCATCACTGATCCAAGGCTACCCAGTAGTAGTGCTGAGAATTCCAGCTCGTAATTTTTCTAATCAACTGGAGGCCTGCTTTTTATATGCAGCCTCTCTCAGTCTTGTTTAAAGTCCCTAGCTTGAACATATTCTCCTTGTATTCAAAGCATTCAAAACTATTAGAAATAACCAAGAGAAGCCTCATACGGATTAATTATATACACTTCAAAGATATTAGAGTAATAGAAAGAAAACAGCATCAAATAATAATAGTATCAATATGGGCCGAGGTGAAGATTTATGAAGCAGAAGGTACAATTTGTAGTCCAAATTTTCCACTACATTATATTTACCACTAAATATGAGATCTGAGAAACACTGAGCTCTGGCACATTTGTCCTAGTCCCTTCACACCCTCTCTCCCTGTGAGAGCTACTAGTATTCCTTCCACAGAGCTTACTTCACTGTCTGGCCTCTATCTCCAACTGCACAGGGACTGCTTTTACTGGTACTCAAAGACCTATTACCTCAAATTCAACAATTCCAAAATGAAAATTCATTCTTCTACTTCCTCCAAACTGGTCCCCTTCTCACCCTCACTAGCTCTGAATGAAAGGCGATACCACATCAGGCTCAAAAGTAGGAGAATTACCTTCTCCTTCATTTTCTTTGTTAAGTCCTATTGATATTTTTCCCTTCAAATGCTCTCTTAAATCCAGTCTTTGACTTTTATTTCTACTCGCAATTCACCACCCATTCCCTAAATTACTAGACACCTCCTAGCTGCTGCTCCTGGAAGTGTTGCCAGATTAATGGTCCTTGAATACCTCTTCCTCTCAGGACACATTCTTTTTTTTCTTTTTAATATATTTTACTTGTGTGGTTTTTTTTTTTACAGAGAGGAAGAGAGAGGGATAAAGAGTTAGAAACATCGATGAGAGAGACACATCCATCAGCTGCCTCCTGCACACCCCCTACTGGGGATGTGCCCACAACCAAGGTACATGCCCTTGACTGGAAGCGAACCTGGGACCTTTCAGTCCGCAGGCCGACGCTCTACCCACTGAGCCAAACTGGTTAGGGCTCAGGACACATTCTTGTTCACAAACTTTTATTGGCTCTGAAATTCCCATATTAAATTTGAATTCCTCTGCCTGGCTTTCAAATTAATCCTTAATCTTTCCCACCCCACTCCTTCAACTTTTCTCTAGCCATTTTCCCAGAACACACCCTTTGATCTAGTTAAACTTGTTCCACTGGACCCAAATGCTATGTTGTATTCAATCTCTACCCCTAGACACTGTACCTAACATTTGAAATTTACTTTCTTCTACTGACCTAAATATTCACCTCAGGAAAGATTTCACTTTGAAACACCCCCTCCACTGCCTTCTTCTTCTTCTTTTCTTTCTTTCTTTTTCTTTTCTTCCTTTTTTTTTTTTTAACAATTTCTGGCAGACATCACTGCCTACTTTAAAAGCTGAAAATGTCAGCCCTAACCGGTTTGGCTCAGTGGGTAGAGCGTCGGCCTGCGGACTGAAAGGTCCCAGGTTCGATTCCGGTCAAGGGCATGTACCTTGGTTGCAGGCACATCCCCAGTAGGAGGTGTGCAGGAGTCAGCTGATCGATGTTTCTCTCTCATTGATGTTTCTCTCTATCCCTCTCCCTTCCTCTCTGTAAAAAAATCAATAAAATATATATTTTTTAAAAAGCTGAAAATGTTAGATACTTGCTTTCCCAAGCCTCCCTTGCAGCAAGGATAGGATCTTGTGCTAGGCTCCACCTAACAAAGGCATCCACACCAGAATTTGTATAGGAGCCAGGAATGGAACTATCTCCCTCAGGTGGAAGTAGTTACAGCAGGATTAAGCTCCCAGGAAACAAGGCAGGCAGAGCTGGTAGTGGCAGTGGCCAGTGGTGCAAGCTGCAGTTCAATGCTTGGCAATGGAAATGCAGTTCAAGAACATGATTTGGGATACTGAATCAGACTTTGGGATATGTAGCCAGGACCTCCAGTAATTCTGCATTACCTAATATGCATATTTTATAAAGGAAAATTGTATTGATGTGCAACACGCATATGGAAAAGTATGCAGCATGACATATAGATGGGAAAAGTACGCAGAGCCCAACTGGTGTGGCTCAGTGGTTGAGCACTGACCCTTGAAACAGGAAGTCACGGTTCGATTCCTGGTTAGGGCATATGCCTGGGTTATGTGCTCAATCTCCAGTGTAGGGCGTGCAGGAGGCAGCCTATCAATGATACTCTCTCATCATTGACCCCAGAATTTCTAACTCTCTCTCCCTCTCCCTTCCTCTATGAAATATATATATATATCCTATATAATAAAAGCCTAATATGCTAAGTGTCTGGTCAGCTGTTCAACCAATCAAACCATAATATGCTAATAATATGCTAAGGTTGCTCAACTGCTTGCTGTGATGTGCACTGACCACCAGGAGGCAGACGCTCTGACTGGTAGGTTATCTGGCTGCTGGGGTCTAGCCAATCGGGACTGAGCAAGATGGGCCAGACACACCCTGGAGCCCTTCCACGGTCCCTCCCCGGCTGGCCAACCTCCCGCGTCCCTCCCTGGGTCTGATCATGCACTGGTGGGGTCCCTCGGCCTGGCCTACGTCCCCTCACATTTAGCCTGACAGCAGAAGCTCCAGTTGCTATGAGGCACACTGACCACCAGGGGGCAGACACTCAATGCAGGAGTGCGCTGGTGGTCAGTGCGCTCCCACAGGGGGAGCGCCGCTCAGCCAGAAGCTGGGCTCATGGCTGACGAATGCAGCACTAAGGATGCTTATGGGGGAGCGGGCCTAAGCCATCAGTTGGACATCCCCCCCCCCCCCGAGGGTCCCGGCCTGTGAGAGGGAGCAGGCCAGGCTGAGGGACCCCCCCCCCAAGTGCACAAATTTTGTTCACTGGGCCTCTAGTCTAGTATATAAATAAAAGTATGCATAACATTAAGTATACAGCTCAAAGATTTTTCACAAACTGAACCCACCTGTGTCAACAAACAGAATATTCCAGTACTCTCAAAGTCCTCCCGGTTCCTCTTTCCAGTTACCATTTCCCTCCCAAGGGTAACCATTATCCACTATCCTGACTTCTAACAGGAGAAATTAGTTTTGCCTGTTTTTCAACTTGATATAAATGGAATCATTCTATGCTCTTTCATGTCTGGCTTCTTTCACTCAGTATGTTAGTGAGATTCACTCCAGTTGTGTGTAACCACAGTTTGTCCATTCTCACTCTATGTATAGTTTTCTATCATTGGGTGACTACTCTACTATTCATCTATGCTACTGTTGATGGGCATATGCATAATTCCCAGTTTGGTTCTATTACAAATGAACACATCAGTGAACCCATGTGTATGTGCATCTATTGGGTATGGGATATACCCTGATATCTTTTTAATAAATTCCTTTTCTGCTTACAATCAATTGGATTTTATTTCTATTGCTTTCAATTAAGAACCTGGACTGATATGCTATCCATTTTATCAGCAGCCATTTTTTTCCACAAAGATTTCCTTGACTATAAATGCCCTGGAGGAGCAGTCACATGGCACATCCCAAAATTTTAATATATCTTATACTATCCTGAATTATTCAGTTATTTTATGCCTGCAAACCCTGTCTTCCATATTGTCATAAACTCCAAAAACAGTCTTCAACTATCACTTCCCAACAAACTGATGTGCTATGGTAAATTATAGCATGCAACAAG